TTTTAAATCCCCTTTTTTTTTTTTTTTTTTTTTAACCTCAAAGATCAGTGTTTTTCCACTAAGATTCTTAGGTGATCTAAAGTTTAATTAAGTGCCTGCTGTTGAGGTTAGAATGCATTAATAAGAGCACAGCACCCCAATAACGAGAGGTGATGGTTTCACTATACCCCACACACTCAGACCACACCTGGAACGCTGTCTTCAAGTCTGAGTGCTATATTTTTTAGAAAGGCGATGTCAAACTGTAGTGTGTGCAGAGGAGGGAATCAGCAGATACAGGGCGCTGAGCCGTTTGTAAGCTAAGTAAGGAACTAGAGCTATTTAGAATGGAGAAGGGACTGCTAAAGGGAGAAATATTTGTCTTCAAGTGTGTGAAAGGCCAGCCCATGAATGATGAAACAGATTTCCTCAGTATTGTTACACAGGGCAGAGAGTGGAGTGGATTTCAGCTCAGCCACGCTGTCCAAGGAGGGGCATAGGCCACTCTATGAGGGGTGAGCTCCATGCAAGGAGACATCCAAATACAAGCCTCCCAGAGGGACCGTGGGAAGCACTCTTGCTACAGAGGCCCCTGGAGGCCTAAGATTCTGTGATTCTGTACGATTGGGCAGATCTAAACTTAACACCTTAGGTGCAGCCCTGTGATTCACCTATTCAACTAACATTACTGTGCAGGCTTTAGTTTAGGCCCTGGAGATACAGAGATGACAGTCTCCTGGGAGAGAGCCAAGTACACACATGATCAAGACGAGCACCATGTATGATACGGAAACAGCCCAGCGAGGGAAGTGGTGGCTTCTGATGTGAAGGAGGAGAGTCAGGAAGCTTCACACAAGAAGCGATGCTCAAGCCGTGTCTTGAAGGAGTGACATTTTGCCAGACAGAAGGGACTGTGGGAGGGAAGGGGAGCGTCCTAGGCAGTGGGACAAGCACTGGAGGCAGGGAGGCAGTCTCCCGAAAAGACCAGAAAGATGTTCAGATGAAGCTCCCAATCCAAGGTGGACTAAAACTCTAGGCAGGTGTGCCGACACTCTTGCTCCTACCATTAAGTTTAAGTGGGGTGGCTGAGGGCCGGCAGGTGGCCAGAGTTTGCCCAGTAGCTCTCCAGAGCCAGGATTGTGACCAGGAGAGCATGGCAGCCTGGCTCTTGTTTTCCCTGTGGGACCTCCAGAGACCTCTCTAGTCTGGGTTCCTCCTAGGTCACTTGGACCCAGGCTCCATGGCCCTGGGGCTGCCTCCCCAGGAGGTGGGAGGAGGAGGTGGTATGACTTCAGTACCTGCTTTCCTTCCACTCCAGGAGCAGGAGAACGTGCTGCAGCGGGTCCTGCAGCTGCCGGTGGTGAGCAGCACCTGTGAGTGCTTCCAGAAGACCTACACCAGCACCAAGGAAGCCCACCCACTGGTGACCTCTGTATGCAGTGCGTACGAGAAGGGCGTGCAGAGCGCCACCAGCTTGGCAGCCTGGAGCATGGAGCCGGTGGTCCGAAGGCTGTCCACCCAGTGTGAGTCCTTGTGGCACTCGGAGGCTGTCTGCCTGTTCATTGATGCTCACTGCCTGCCTGCCAATCTTTTGTCTATCAGTCTGTTTGATAGCTTGCTTGTCTGTCTGCCTTTTTGTTTGTCTGACTGCCTTCCTGAGTATCTACATCCCATTACATAGTCTTTTCATCTACAGATATAGATGATTTAAATATAGATGTAGATATAGATGTAGGTCTCTTCTCATCTATAGGTGCCTCATCTGTACCCCAGCTGGCATTTTCCTAGGACGACAATGATGGGCCACATAATTGGCAGGAGAAGGGGTGGGCAGAGCTATGAGGGCGGTGGTGGGAGTGGGGGCCCATGGCAGACCAGCACCCACTTTGGCTCCAAATCCAGCAGCAGCAGCAGGAACTAGCAGAGTCTGGCACAGAGGCAGAGGCAGTGGGCACTAGGGCTAGCCTGGCAGGGATGGGGGAGAGAGGAGGGAGAGGGGAAGCCCTCTGGGTCCAGCAGCTGATGGTACTGGCCCCATGACAGGCCAGGGCAGCAGAGAGCTACCAGTCAGGGCCCTGAAGGTGAGGACAACTTACCAGACCTGCCCCTGTTCAAATTGTTCTGCCCCGTCGGAAAATATGGTCTCCATGGCACGGCTCTTGACAGGGCTGAGGGAAATTCCAGAAGTCTAGGACCTGCCACAGTCCTGATTACAGAGTTATGGGTATCTGAGGATTTGGCACAGCAAACGGGAGAGGACAGATATAAAGAAGACCTGGGCCTGGGTCCACCTCCCTGCCTGCAAACTTAAATAATTTCCCTGGGTCTCATTTTGCCCAATCGGAGGTCAGCCAAGTCATCTGGGCTCTCTGCTGCTTGAGAATTTTGTGAAGAAACCTGGGATATCTGGAGAAAGAACATATGAAAGAGAATATATAGATATCCTTTAAAACTGTGATCTCCATGGTCATGTCTGCAGAGCTGATGTCCTTGGCAGCCCCTGGGCAGTATCTCCCGGGAACATTTGCATCCTCTGGCACTTGCCCCTTTCTCTTCCTTGTGACCTTCTTCCCAGTGTTGACCATCTCATTCCTAGAGGTTAAAAGGAAGGGCCATGGACTATCTGGAACTCTAGAACAGCCTTTCACCTCTAGAATTAAGCAGTGCCAGGCCAGCTCCCACCCTAGGGCCCGGCTGCCCCTCCACCATGACACCTCTGCTCTCCCCCCTCGTGTTCACCCAGCACTCACCCAAAGAGGGGCTGTAGGAGGAGGAGAGACCAGGATCTGTTGGTGATTCACAAAGGTTCTGTCACTTCCTCCTCACGACAACCCTGCAAGGTTTGTCCACATTAATCCACATTTTACAAGTGAGGAACTTGAGGCTCAGCCAGGTTGTGACCTGCCTGAAACTACACTGCAGATGCAGGTGCTGGGCTTTGAATGCAGATCTGCATGACTCCAGAGCTCCTGCTCAGAGGAAAAACATCCTGCTCTCAAGGAGTCACAGTGGATGGTGGCTAAAGCTGGCAGAGGGCCTCAGATTCCCAGATGCTTTGGGGGTAGCAGGGCTGGGGGTTTTGAGGGCTCCAAGGTGCCTTCCTTGGCACAGAGGCCCCTGCTGGGCTCTCACAGTGGGGGCAGGGCTCACCTGACCATGGCCTTTTGCTTCCAGTCATAGCTGCCAACGAGCTGGCCTGCCGAGGCCTGGACCACCTGGAGGAAAAGATCCCGGCCCTCCAGTATCCTCCTGAAAAGGTGAGCCCCTCCCCTCTTCTCTAAGGCTCCCCACATTCTGTTGTCACTGCCTCCCAGTTGAGGAGAGGGCACGAGCCCATGATGCATAAATGTGAGTCTTTTGTTTCTGTGGCAAATGCTTTCCAAGGCTGGTGGCAGCTGCCTGTCCCTAAGACCATACGATGGGCTTCTTCCTTTCCCTGTGGGGCCAGATGAAGGCAGGCTTTCTGAAACCAGCAGGCACAGCCCAGAGGCAAACTCAAACAGGAGCTTGGGGTAGGGCCCACTGCTTCTGATTCTCTGCTCTTTGGCCTACATTGGACCGTTTGGTAACTACAGCCACCTAAGATCATGGGTCACACTCGTCAGATCCCATGATTGCAGTCCCATGTCCTCAAGATCCAACACTTTATGGACCATGAGACTGAAAATGTCACTTCACCTGGATAGCTATTCATTGGGCATTTGCCATGGTAAGGGCCATGTCTGGTGCTTTGGGGGAATAAGTTGCACTCTCAGACGCTGTCCATCTCACTGACAAACTACCACCCGTCTCACAAACATTTATTGAGTCCTACCCTATAACAGGGGTCATGACATATGATTTATAGAGCCCTCTCATTTAATCCTCTTGTCAACCCTCTGGTATAGGGGTGGGTATCCCCATTTTACAGATGAGAAAACTAGTGACTTCCCCCTGACCACACAGCCTTAAGTGGAGGCCACATGAGAGCAGGTCTATTTGGCTCTGAGGCCTATGCTCTTCACTTATTTTTCCAGATAAACGGCAACGTCTTTGTCCACAGAGAAGCTCCTAAGGCAAAGGAGAGAAAGACATTATTTCAATGCAGAACCTGTAGGAAGATCAACCACATCTATAAGTCCACATAAGTGCAGATAGGAATGTGAGCAATGTTCTGAGGGCAAGACAGAGCAGACAGCAGAGGAATTTGGAAGAGGAGATGCCTTGTGTGCATGAGGTGTTATCAAGGAGGTGGACTTTGGGGGGCATTCTTGAAGGATGGTTAGGATCTTGACAGGTAGAAATGGGGTGCAAAGAAGCCAGGAGATCTAAGTGGTTGGCACAGGAAGGACTGGAGCCCTTTTCCTTTTAAGTTCAGCTTAATCAAGCTGCCCAAATATTGGTGCCAGTCCCCTTTAAATGAGGCTTTCCTGAAGCTGGGCTCAGGGTCTGCCAGATCCACATGCCTGACTCCCCTCCCCACTTCCTCCAGATTGCTTCTGAGCTGAAGGACACCATCTCTACCCGCCTTCGCAGTGCCAGGAACAGCATCAGTGTGCCCATCGCCAGCACTTCAGACAAAGTCCTAGGGGCCGCTCTGGCTGGCTGTGAGCTCGCCTGGGGGATGGTCAAAGACACTGCCGAATTTGCTGCCAACACCCGAGCTGGCCAGCTAGCCTCTGGAGGGGCCGACTTGGCCTTGGGTGGTGTTGAGAAGGTGGTAGAGTTCCTCCTCCCTCCAGCCAAGGAGGAGTCAGGTATCTGCCATTAGGGGGCCTGGGGAGTGAGTTGGCCACCCATGCTGCTTGGGAGTTAGGAAGAGGCAGCCAGGGCCCATCTAGCCCCTGCTCTGGAACAGGGATGGCCCAGCAAGATTGTCAGATGGATCCATCCTCACCTAGCCCTCTCTCCCCATTTTTAAGTGGAGAAAGTGAGTTGCCCAAATCACCAGCAAGCTTGTGGTGGAGCTAGGATGACCACTTTCCAACCCTAGACACAACCCAGCTTTGCCCAGTGCCTTTCTGATCAGCTTTCCTTTCCTTCCCCTCACAAACTCCTACCTAGCCCCTGCTCCAGGACACCAGCATGCCCAGAAACCTCCCCAGGCCAAGCCGGGCCTCGTGAGCAGGGTTGGGGCCCTGGCCAACACTCTCTCTCAACACACCTTCCAGACCACAGCCCGGGCGCTGAAACAGGGCCAGGCCCTGGCCATGTGGATCCCAGGTGTGGCGCCCCTGGTGAGTGTCTGCCCTGAGCTCTGACTGACCCACAGCCTGGGAACCCTGTCTGTGGGCCTCCTGGTCCCTCCCATCCCCTACCCAATTCTGCCTCCTGTCCTAGGAACTTCCTCTCTTCCGGCCTGGGCGGGGACTTTAGGTCTAAGGACAAGAGGACTTAGGTGGGATGGTGGGCTAGTCCTCTAGGTTGCAAGGGGAGAGGGCAGGCCTGCTTGTTAGGGTGGTCCTGCCCCCCACCCTCTTCTGTCTCTCCCATTCTCCCTCTGAGTCCCCCCCAACCCTCCCAAGCCTTCCTCCTCCCAAGTGGGCCCTCCCACTTGTGAGGAAGCAGAGACCCCTCCCCCCCACATCTGCCCTCTAGGCACTAGGGAGTGTCATCTGTAAGTAAGCAAGGCACAAAACCCATTCTGTTGGGAAGAGAGCCCCAGCTGGGCCGTGTCTCAGACTGCCCCCAGGGTTCTGGTTTCCCTTCTAAAGCCTTCTAATTTGCATCCCATTGCACCCAAGGTAAAGCTGACTTTTCTAGGCCCAGATAGGGCTTACTCCTCACCACACCCCACCTCCACCTCTTTGTGTATTTTAGCAGAGATAGCCTGGATTATTTTCATAGGAACTTTAGTAAGAAACTAAGCAGCAGCCCCCCCCCCCTTAAAAAAAAGGAAATAAAAGCATTAACTCATAAATGTCAGCAAACTAGATAACCACTTCTCAGCCATCAAGAGGGTGGTACTTTTAAAAGCATCCTCAGGCCTGGCTCATTCATTCAAGCAAATGTTTGCTGAGAACCTACTATGTGCCAGGTTCTGTAGCTCCAGTAGGGATACAGGAGTAGTCTGTCACCTGCACTGGGGGGCCACTTCCCCATGGGGGCTAGACTAAATCCTGCGCCCTGGCCTGGCCCCTAGTGGGCAGGGGCCACTGTACGGCACAGCCTCAGCCACCACCGTTCATATAGAAAATAATGGTGTCCCAGGGACTTCCCTGGCGGTCCAGTGGTTAGGACCTTGCCTTCCAACGCAGTGGGTGTGGGTTTGATCCCTGGTCAGGGAGCTAAGATCCCACATGCCTTGCAGCCAAAAGACCAAACATAAAACAGAAGCAATATTGCAACAAATTCAATAAAGACTTTAAAAATGGTCCACATCAAAAAAGAAAAAAATCTTAAAAAGAAAATAATTGTGTCCCCTAAGGGTGTATAACAAGGAGACCCTGTTTGTGGGGTTCCCTAGGGGTTTGAAATGAGCCAAGCTGTGCCCCAGGGGACACCAGCCCACCTACCCAGGTCAGTTTCCTGCCATGGGATCCTCTGGCCCACTTGATTTTTTTCACTCTTTAAAAGATCTGCAAGGAGTATGTACTAAAGCTAAACATACATATCCCCTATGACTCAGCAATTCTACCCGACAGAAATAAGAGCTTATGTCCCCCAAAGACACACCGGAAATGTTCCTATCAGCTTTATCCTTAGCCAAGAACTGGAAATAACACAAATGTCCATCAACAGTAGAATGGGTATATTGTGGTATATTTATTCAGTGGACTATGACACAAATGAAAAAGGAGGAACTACTCTGACACTCAGTAATGTGGATGAATCTCACAACACAACGTTGAACAAAAGCTATTCATGAAAGAAAACACGTTGTGTGAGTCCATTTACAAATGAGAAAAATCAATGCATGGTGATAGAGGCCAGAATGTGGTCACCCTTAGGTGGTAATGACTGGGTGAGGGGCACAGGGAGTCTTCTGGGGTGTCGAAAATGGTCTATATCTTGATCTGTAATGGTCACACAGGTGTGTGTTTCTAAAAATTCCCAGAGGTGTATACTAAAGCTTGTGCACCTTAGTGGGTGTAAGTTACCACTCCATAAAAAGTTTGAAGAACAGTCTGCTGGGGCCAGGCCCTGCTTGCCTCCCCCAACCCTGACCCTGGGGGTGAGGGGCTTTGCCTGCTGGGGCTGCCCAGCCTCTGGCAGGGGCTGTGAAACCAGCAGCCCGCCACCTTCCTGCCCTCAGAGCAGCCTGGCCCAGTGGGGCGCATCGGCGGCCATACAGGTGGTGTCCCGGCGGTCGAGCGAGGTGCGGGTGCCCTGGCTGCACAACCTCACTGCCACCCGGGAGGAGGACCACAATGACCAGATGGACACAGAGGGGGAGGAGACAGAGGTGGAGGAGGAGGAATCAGAGATGGAGGAGAACAAGCTCAGTGAGGTAAGGGAGAGAGCAGAAGCCGAGCGGGATGCGGGAACCTGGAGGTCCACAGCCCACCGAGGGGGTGAGAAGCAGAGGCCCCGGGTGAAACAAGGGTCTTTGCCCCCAGGCCCAGGAATGTAGTACATGGGTGCAGTGCTCTTCACCTCACCCCCAAAGGCCCAGCTAACAAAGTTCTCTCAGAGGATCCTCACAACAACCCCATAAAATAGGCAGGACAGAGATTGTCATCCCCATTTTGCAGATGAAGAAACTGAGGTTCAGAGAGCAGAAGTGACCTGCCCAAGAGCCAGGCTAATAGTTTTTTCAGTTTGGTATCCACGTTCTTTCCCCTCTAGCTCTGGGGATGGTGAGGAGAGGGGAAGGGTCAGGGGAGTTGCTGAGGAGGCACTGACCTTGCTCTGGCCCCCAGGGAGCAGCCCTGCCTGGCCCACAAGGCCTCCTGGGCGGTGTGGTGCACACCCTGCAGAAGGCCCTCCAGAGCACCATCTATGTCGTGACGTGGGTGCCTGCGGCTGTGCTGGGCACGGCAGGGAGGTTGCTGCATCTCATGCCAGCCCGTGCTGTCTCCTCCACCAAGGGCAGGGCCATGTCCCTGTCTGATGCCCTGAAGGGCGTTACTGACAACGTCGTGGACACGGTGGTGCACTATGTGCCGGTGAGTCCCCCTGCCCTTCCGGCTAACCATCCCCCTCCCCCCCACCCCTGAAAGGACAGATAAAGCAGATTTGACTGAAGGGGCTGCAGCTGCCCTCCCTTCCCCAGTCTCTGATCCTCAGTGCCCCAGAAACATTTTGACATACTATGGCCTTGACTGGGGGCCTTGGCAGCCCCAAAATTAGAGGCCTGTGGCCTTGGCCTGAGACATTTCCCCACATCTGTCCTTCCCACCTGCTGCTGGGGAGGTCACCCACCGTTAATCTGGGGGTCCCAGTGGCCAAGTCCTCACCCCTCAGCTCTGAACTGAAGGACCTGGCAGGTTTGCATGCTGCTCCCTGGAAAGGGCTGCAGGGAGCCTTCCAGGGCACCCTGCGGGGTCGGCTATGTTCCAGGGGACAGCAGCTGCCCCCATGCCAATTCCAACACCTGTCACCAACAGGAAAACCCCAAGGAGTACCAGTACTATCACTTTGGGGGTCCTTGGGTCCCTTTCCAGAGCAAGTTACAGGTCCAGCAGTCAGTAGGAGGGCTGGTCAGGGCAGGAGGCCCCTTAGAGCTGAGGGTTGAGGGAGGCTGTGAGGGTAGTGGGGGAATGGGTTACTCAGCCACTCACTCTCACCAGGAGGCATGGCAGGCGTCTTGGCAGCCAGCTTGTTCACCTTGGGCCCAAAACAGAGCCAGGCGTGGGTACCCTGACCCAGGCAGGGGCAAGGAAGGGTCCAAGGAAGGGTCAGGAACGCCACTGACCTCCCACTGAGGAACCTCCGAGAGAGACCGGAGGGGTCCAGAAACTTTAGAGGGTGGCTGTCTGCCTTGCCTTGGAGGTCTGGACTGTGCACACTGTCAGGGAGGGCAGGACCTAAGCGGTCTCCCACGCACCCTCCATCCCTGTCCCACACCCCCGCCTCTGCCCTCCGGACGGCCGCTCCCGGGAGGCGTGACCGCGAGGGCCGCAGAGGAGGCGGTGGTGGGAGGCGCAGGGACTAGGGCCAAGGCGGGGGGCCTAACGTGGTTGCCGGTCCCCAGCTCCCCAGGCTGTCGCTGATGGAGCCCGAGAGCGAATTCCGGGAGATCGACAACCCGCCTGCCGAGGCCGCGAGCCCGGAGGCGGAGCGCAGGGGGTCCGGGGCGCTGCCCGCCGGCTCGGATGCCGCGTCGCGCCCCGCGCAGTCCCGCGGCAGCCTGCGCAGCGCTCGGGGCCGGGGCGCGGAGGACCGGGCGGACACGGCCGCCGCGCTGCGCACCGCCTTGCCGGCCATGCCCCGCGAGAAGCCCGCCCGCAGGGTCAGCGACAGCTTCTTCCGGCCCAGCGTCATGGAGCCCATCCTGGGCCGCACGCAGTACAGCCAGCTGCGCAAGAAGAGCTGAGACCGCTGCCCGCCATCGCCCTCCCGGCCAGGCCCGCCGCCCCGCCCCGGCCGAGCGCTGGGGCCGCTGTCTCCTGAAAACAAACAGAACCTACATGTCCAAATGAGCGTTGACTTCTTCCAAATAGTCCCCTTGGGTCCCGAGCCTCGTTCCAAGGATGCTGCCAAGGCACACATCATCTTCTGAGCATCATTTTTGGGCTTAGCTGTCAGAGCCCATTTTTGAGAAGCATCAGACTAGCAGTCTGCTTTAATTCTATGCCTTGTTATTTTTACCAAAAGATTAATTGCCTAACTTGATCTCTCACTTCTTTCACCAAATTTGTGGCCAAGTGACATTTAACTGTTTCCAGTATTTACATCCCTCCTCTGTAGACAAATATTTGTCATCAGTGAACATGTCACCACCTTCAAGGTTCAAGCAGTAGATCCTGGCACATTTTTAAGCCCTGAATGCAGAGATTCCTCTGAGTATACAGGCTCTCAGAAGACTACTTTGAGGGGAACAGCAATCAGGTGCAAAAGCTCTTGAGTGTTTATATACATATGAGCATCACTTTCTGAGTACCCCACACTCTTCACAGGCTGAGTCCTGGCCTGTGCTCTGTAGCGCCACCTTCCTGTTCACAGCTACATTTCCATTTGCACCCTTACTGCTTTCCACCTCCATGTTCACCCTTCCTTCCACTTCTCGAATGCTGGTACCCCTAGTGCTGGGAGACAGTGGTGATCGTTTGTTATAAGTATAGACCATATATTTGGACTCTATAGCCACAGTTCATTCCAAGCCCTATTTTTGAAAATGTTAATATTTTGTACATTTGGAAATGCATACATATAAGTTAAAAATTCAAACACTACCAAAGGATGTGTGCCTTCCTCCCTGAGTTCCCTGGTTTCTCTTCCCCAAAGCAATCACGGTGCCAGTCTCTTCTGTATCTTTCCGATTACGGACTGTTCATGCGCAGGCACATGTGTATATACTCCCCACTGTTTACACAAGCTGTGGGAGGTTATACTCAGTGCTTTCTTCACTCAGCAATACATCTTAGAAATCTTTTTTGTATCAGTATCATAAATCCTCCTTGCTCTTTTTAACAGCCACACAGTAAGTGCTTCATAATATAGATGTGCTATGTTTGATTAAACTAGTGCCTTAATCATGGACTTTTAGGTTGTTTCCAGTTGTTTGCTCCTTCGAACAGTGCTACAATAAATGTCTTTATACAAATGTTTCATGTAGATGTGTGCATATATCTATAGGGTAAATTTATAACTTGGAACAATGACATGTCGAGTGAAAGGGTACGTTCATTTTAAATCTTGATAGGTAATGCCAAGTAGCCTTCCAAACAAAACTCAGTTTTTCTTGTCATCTGCAGCTGCACAGATAATTCTGACACTTCTGTCAGTCCTTTTAGACATCTATATATACACACTCAGCCCCTATAGGTCCCCCTCAGATCCATGAGCACCCTCTTGGCCGCCACTCTGTGGCACACCTAAGAGTCCAGCTCCCTGTAACTGACTCTGGGCCCTGGTAGATCTTTGGTGTAATGAGTCTTTGGCCTTTATCCGTGGTTTTGAAATCTGAGGATGCCCAGAATGAGGAGAGGGGAGTGTTGATGGACATACACTTATGGACATGGTCATGACCTTGAACTAGCTTTGGGCCCCCCACCCAACCCTCACAATCCACACCACACTCAGCAGTTTCCTGGGGAGGGGGTATGGATCTGGCAAGAGTCACATGGCCACATCTGGCTGAAAGGGAGGATGGGAAATATAGTCTTTATTTGGGGTGGCTATGCATCTAGTTAAAAATCTGAGGTCTTAAAAGGAGGGGAAGTGGATTCTGGGGGTGGGGGGCAACTTGCAATCTCTGCCACACCACTCTCCTGTTAACAGACATTTGGGTTGTTCCTCTATTTTTACTATTACATACTTTTGGCAGTAAACATTGTTATGAGTTGCTTAGGGAATATGATGAAGAGTGGGATTGCTAAGTCATAAAGTATGTGTATTGTTAACTAGATATTGCCAAATTGTCCTCCAACTTGGTTGTTCTGATTTACATTCTCACCAGAAGTATATGAGTCCTCTTATTCAACGTTCTTACCAACACTCAATATTGTCTGGTTTTATCATTTTTGCAAATCTGAAGTGTGTATAATGGCATTTCTTTGTGGACTTAATTCCGTGAATCACAGTGATATTGAACATTGTTTATTATGTTTATCGAATGTTTTTATTTCCCCTCTGTGAAGTGTCTGTCAAAACTTTTGCTCAGTTTTCTATTGGTCGTTTTTCTTTTTCTCATTGATTTTTAGAAGACGTTAATGTTTTTTGGATACTAATCCTTTATCAACTCTACGCATCACAAATATCCTCTTCCAGTGTGTGGTTTTTCATTCTCTTTATGGTTTCTTTCAATGAACAAAAGTTCTAATTTTTACTTAGTCAAAATTATAATTCTTTTCCTTTAATGTTTTGCAATTTTGAGTAGTTTTTAAAGCTCTCCCTACCATGAAGTCATGAAGGTATTCCCCTGTATTTTCTTCACATATTTTCAGTTTTGCCTTTTACATTTAATTAATTTTTATGTATGGTTTAAGTAGGAATCTGATTTTTCTTCCATATGGATAACTGATTATCCTATACTTTTCCTAATTTCTTGAATTTTTAGGTTCTCCTTAATTGAATCGTACACTGTGGGAAGGCTAAGAGTTTCTCATAGAAGTCAGCTGGAAGCTCCTGACCTGTTGATGTCAGATGCCTGAATGATGCTTTCTTGCATCTAGGTGGAACAGAGGGACCAGGTTCTGCCTCATGTATGGAATAGTCTGGCTTCCCCCCACTCTCAGTTCCGTCGTAGATCAAGTTTTCCAATGTGTTCTATTTATCTATTCCTGTGGCATTAGCACATTGTCTGACTTACAACGGTTTAAAATCTGTTTTCATATCTTGGTGGGCAAGCCCCCACATTGCCCTTCTGTAGGAGGGCTTTACAACTTCTGGCTCTTTGCTTTTCCATACAAATAATAAAGTCAGCTTGTCAAATTCTACAAAAGGAAAATTTACAGACTCAGCTTGTTTCAATTAACTATAATTATTATTTGCTCTTTTGATGCTCAAATTGTCACAATTTGGCCCCTTTAAGTTGAGGCCTTTGTCCTTTAGGCTGACAACGGACATTCTAAAAGCATGTTTCTTCTGACCACAAAAAAATTATTCCTGTTCTTGACCTAATCCATGGGATCAGCTACTTTTATTTATTTTTTTGTTGTTTTGTTTTTTCTTTTTGCGGTACGCGGGCCTCTCACTGTTGTGGCCTCTCCCGTTGCGGAGCACAGCCTCCAGATGCGCAGGCTCAGCAGCCATGGCTCACAGGCCCAGCCGCTCCACGGCATGTGGGATCTTCCCGGACCGGGGCATGAACCCGTGTCCCCTGCATCGGCAGGCGGACTCTCAACCACTGTGCCACCAGGGAAGCCCTGGGATCAGCTACTTTTAAAGAGGAATAGTGGTAGCACAATTTGGACCCTGGGTATGCATATCTGATTGTTCCATGTGCATATTGGTGATAGACAGAAAAACACTGCACACCCACTAGTGACAGCTAGAAAAAAGGCATTTCTTTCCAAGGTCATCAATTCACATTGATAGTTCCAGTGAACTCTAACATCACAAAAATCTTTAAAATTACTGTAACAAAAGTTTCAATTTTCTTTTCTCTAAACTTAAGTACCTTAAAATTGTAATTATACCAAGGTTTCATTGATCATGATCACCTTTTGTTACATTTACATACATAAAGATCCAAGTTTAGTTTTAGTCTTCTTCACATTGAGTCTAAATGAATCTTTTTTGACTGTGTGGTAACAGGCTGCTCCAAAGCATTCCAGCTGAGGACCCCAACTCCTTTAGAATATTTCAGACCAACAGAGTAGTTCTAGAGCATATCAGAGAACACTGGGGTTTCATCTACTTTTCCCACATGAATTTTTGGTTTCTCCTAAGCTGAATTATATATTGTAGGAAGGGTCATAGCTTCTGGCAGCTTCTAACAGATGAATGTTTGGTACCAGAATGATGGTCCTTCATGATACATGAATCAGTTGACCAGCCTCTCTTAGCTTTGAAAATTCTAGGAAGTGGTTGTGGATATTATGGATGACTTCCTGTATTAGGGTTCTACAGACAAACAGAACCAAGAGGAAGTACATAAATTTATACCAGTAGGAAATATATATACAACTGACCCTTGGACACTGCATAGGTTAGGGGTGCCAACCCTCTGCATAGCTGAAAATCCGAGGGAGTTTCCCTGGTGGTCTAGTTGTTAGTGTTGTGGTCTGCGATTCGGCGCTTTAACTGCCAATGGCCTGGGTTCAATCCCTGGTTGGCCATGGGGCCAAAAAAAAAAAGAAAGAAAAGAAAATCCGAGCATAACTTTACAGTCAGCCCTCTGTACCTGCAGTTCTGCATCTGCGGATTCAACCAACAGGGATTGTGTAGTAATATAGTATGTATTTATTGAAAAATATATGAGTATAAGCCGACCTGCACAATTCAAACCTGTGTTGTTCAAAGGTCAACTGTATATATAACTATATATACATATATATATTTTATATTTATATATATATATAAAGAGATTCATTATAAGGAATTAGCTCACAAGATTATGGAGGCTGGCAAGTCTCGAGAACTACAGGCTGAATCAGCAAGCATGGAGACACAGGAGAGCCAGTGGTTTAGTTCCAGTCCAAAGACTGGCAGGCTCAAGACCCAGGAAGAGCCGATATTTCAGTTTGAGTCTGAAGGCAGGAAAAAAGCCAAAGTCTCAGTTAAAAGACAGGCAGGAAAACTCTCCCTTATTTGGAGCAGGGTCAGCCTTTTTGTTCTATTCAGGCCTTCAACTGATTGGATGAGGGCCACCCACGTTGGGGAGCACAATCAGCTCTACTCAAACATATGTTAATCTCATCCAAAAACACCC